AGAGAGAGAGAGAGAGAGAGAGAGAGAGAGAGAGAGAGAGAGAGAGAGAGAGAGAGAGAGAGAGAGAGAGAGAGAGAGAGAGAGAGAGATGAAATTGTGCCACCACCATGCCTGGTTTCGATTGAAAATATAGCTCAAGTACAGTGCAACGTGGCATGCGGTTGCGTCCGTTCTGATTTTCCGTTGGTTAATTTTTCAGTTCTTTCTTCGCTGTTGTGCGCCTTCTGATTTTTCCGTTGGTTAATTTTTCAGTTCTTTCTTTGAGGTCGTCATCCTGGTTATTGTATTGATCTTGTGTGTAGGTCACACACACACACACACACACACACACACACACACACACACACACACACACACACACACAAAATCAGTTTTATGTCTGTTCGCCTTTCTTCTGTTGTCTGTCCTCCCCGTGACCTTTTCTAAGTATGTTTTGTGTGCCTAACTGAGCACCCTCAAGTAGTGCCAAACAGTCGGTGGTTCCTCGTTTGGAGTGCCTAATGCACTCTTATGGGGGCCGCTCGGTTCGGGATGTCTGTGTTGCCTGTAGGTGATGACGGATGGTTGTCAGAGTGTCCCCCTGGTTCAGCGGGTGGTGGGAACCAACAGTCTGCGAGGTTCTATCATGATGTGAGTAGGTCATGTGCTGTTTTGCTCCGTGTTGGATGTGTAGACTATCTTGTCTGCGCTCTGCCGCGGTCTTGCTGCCCATGCCGCTTGCTTTGCAGGTCGTCCTCGCTGCTTTGCTGCCTTGCCGCCTACCCGCGGGCCGTGCCTCCCGTGTCTTTTGCTCGCGTGCCTTGTGGTTTGGTAGCCTTGTGGCGGTGCCTCGTGCTTCGCTGCACGGTTGCTGAGCTGCTTGTCCGTGTGCTATGTCGGTCTTCAATGTCCTTTGCGTGCATGCCTTGTAGTTTGGTTGCCTTGTTGGTGGGGCCTTGTGCTTCACTGCACGGTGACCGAGCTGCTCGTCTGCTTGCCCTGTTGGCCTTCTGCCTCCTTTACTTGCTTGCGTGCTTTGTAGTGTCATCGCCTTGCTGATGTTGCCTTGCGCTTCACCGCACGGTTGCCGAGCTGCTCGTCCCCTTGCTTTGTCGTTCCTTGCAGTCGTCTTTGGGGACAAGTGGTTGGGCTGCCTCTACTGTGTTGCCTGGTGCTCCACAGGGTTGCTGCCCGCTGCTATGTCCCGCTTGGGGACAGTCTGCCTTCAACGTGGGTCAAAGGGTTCATGACCCTAACCATCAAATACGGGGATTCCGCAGATTGTCGAGGGTTCAGCCTCCTAATGAGTCGGTGCAACTCCGATGAAACAATCTTGTCATCATTGGTTTTTTATTTTTTTTTATTTTTTTCGGTCTTCGCTGTTTTTTGGTACTTGTATTTTTGCTTTGCATGCTTTCTGTATCTGAGTGATGTCTGCTCTCCCGCCTCCCCCCTCCCCCGTGCCTTCCACCCATTGTCTTCTGTTGCTGCTTGATGTCTTATACTTGGGATAGTTTTCTGTAATTGTTTTTTTTTTTTTTTTTTTTTTTTTTCTCCTACCTCCCCCGTGCCCCCCAGTCCTTGTGCCCTTCTGCAGTTTGTTGTCATTGCCTCCTTGTCTTTTGCCTTATTGTGCTTCCTTTCCCCGTCTTGCGGTGTCTATTTGATCGTGTGTATTCCAGTTCGCCTGCAAAGTGCAGTGGGAGCATAGATGGTCGTGTAGTCCGACATAGTCATTCCCAACCTTACAGTAGAGGTTCCGTCTGCACCACGCCTACAAGTTTTTGTTCCTGAGCTTGCTCGTGTAGTCTGGCATAGTCATTCCCCACCTCCGAGTACTGGATGCGTCTGCACCACGCCTACAAGTTTTCATTCTTAAGGTACGCCGATATATTATTTCGGATCTTGATTATGATGCGGTTTCCGTATCATACCGTAATCATGTCTTATTATGCGGGTTACACACAGACACACACACATAGACACACGCACACACACACACACACACACGCACACACACACACACACGCACACACACACACACACACACACACACACACACGCACGCTTACAAGTCGAAGAGAGGAAGAGGAGAATCGATGGAAGATGGATGGGCCGACCCCCCTCCCTCTCGACTCGCGTCATGGGCACTGAGAAGGGTGGACGACTCATTAGCCCCTCTAGCCCTTCGGACCACCACTTCTCATCCCTGTTTTTCTTCCACTCTTCCCCTCCTCCCTTTCCCCTTTCCTGTCTTTGTTCTTTTCCTTTTCCTTTTCCTTTTTCTTTTTTCTTTTTTCTTTTTTCTTGTTTCTTTTGTTCTTTTTTCTTTTTTCTTTTTTCTTTTTTCTTTTTTCTTTTTTTGTTTCTTTGTTCTTTTTTCTTTTTTTCTTTTCCTTTGTCTGTTTTCTTTCTTCTTTTTCCTTTTTCTTCCTTTTTGCTTTGAGCAGACGTAGCATGGTCCCAACCCCTCGAATAAAACACTGAAGGAAAACCTCGAATAAAATCCTGAGCAGCGGGATTCGACCAGCCATGGATTTCGAGAACGGCTCGCTCTCGGATCTTGACGAATATGGGCGGGCCTCGAATAATACACGAGCCCTGAGGAACGTAGGTAGGCCTCAGCTGGGTCTTGGCTCTTGGACTGGGTCACCCCTGGTGTCCCTTGTGGCATGACCACGAGCCCCGCTGTGCTTTTTGTTTTCCTTTCATCGAACTTCCTTTTTCTTCCATTGCCACACGGCAGTGTGGACGAGCTATGAAGGACAAATATTAGCGACTGCAAACTCCTCACCCACCGCACCTTTTTGGCACTGTGGGAGGATACTGCAAGGAATATGAGTGTGAGCAATATCCATAAAACCAAGTTGCGAAATCACACAGCTGAGCCAGTAGTCGTGTCACAAGCAGAGAGTACTAATGCACCGAGAAAAACATCCATAAAGAGCAATACAATGAAGAAATGAGCCAATGTCAAAGCCC